CTACTAGTCAAATAAATTGAACAGGAATATAATAATGAACTACTAAAGATAAAAATTAACAAAGTAATATCAATAGCAGGGACTGATCCAACTACAAATAGTAGAGACAATAAAGGGAAATACGGATAGTAATGAACGATAATTAAGTAATATGTTTAAGGTTGACTTCGGTCAATATTTTTGGTAAACGGACCCGGACTCGAGATTGGACGGTCCCAGAAGGTCCGTAGAAAAATATGGGACTCGGGCATGTGCCCGGAGTCGAATTCCGAGGACTAGAGCCCGAGAAATGAATTTTTCTGTGAAATAGTTTTTCTGAAATTATTAAGGAAAATGGAAATGAAAATTTATTAAAAGACTGTGGTATCAGGCTCGTATTTTGGTTCCGACGCCCGGTACAAGTCTTAAATATGTGTTAAGCGCTTTCTGTAAAGTTTGGTCGAAATCGGACGTCGTTTGACGTGTTTCGGACCTAAATATCTAAAGTTTTAAGTTTATGAAGTTTGAAAGGAAAATGATGATTTTGAGGCTTGATCCAATGATTTTGAGGTTATTTTGGCGATTTGATCGCTCGAGTAAGTTTGTAAGATGTTATTGAGTTAGGGTGTGTGATTGGTTAGGAGCCCCGAGGGCTCGGGAGTGTTTTCGGAGGTGTTCGGGGTTGTTTTGGACTTAGGATGATATCAGATTTTCTGCAATTTTTACACAGGGATTTCCTTCTTCGCGATCGCGCTCTTCCCCACGCGATCGCATAGCACTGAGTCGTCTTCCTTCGCGATCGCGTCTTGAACCACGCGATCGCGTAAGCCAAATCCTTGGACCCCCAGTAGTTCTTCTACGCGATCGCGTAACCCTCCACGCGATCGCGATGACCAGTCAGTGGTACCCTTCGCGATCGCATCCCTATTTCCGCGATCGCGTAGGGCAATTTTGCCCAGCAAATTTTTAAGTTAAAAACATAACAGTAGCACGGGATTTTTCATAAAAACACACGAAACCCTTTCTTCTCCAAGCAATTAGGCGTCCATTGAAGCTCCCTTTCATCAAAACTTCTTGGGTAAGCATTGTTCAACTTGTTTCCCTCATTATTTCTTCATCTAATTACTAAATTCCTAGCCCTAAAACATGAAATCAAGGTAGAAATTATGGGTTTTGGGTAGAGTTAGGGTTTTGAGAATTTTGGGTGATTCAACCTCAATTTGGGGTCGAATCTTAAAACAAATTATATATTTGCACTCGTGGGGTTATGGGTGATCGGGTTTTGGTCCGAGCCTAGAGTTTGGACCATGTGGGCCCGGTGTCTAATTTTGGTATTTTTGAAATAATGCTAGAAAATTCATATCTAGGCTATGAGAAGTTGCCATTGAGTCCTTATTGATATTGTTGAATTAATTATGCCTAGATATCACTGTATTGGAGGTGGAATCACGAGGTAAATCGATAGTTGAGGATTAAGTGGATTTCAAGGCTTTGAGGTAAGTGTTTGGTTTAACCCTAGCTTGAGGGAATAGGAGTTGAGTCTTGTTGCTAATTGCTATGTGATCGAGTACGATGTATAGGCATGGTGACGAGTATCTATACATTGGTGTCTAGCATGACCGTGAGTCCTTATAATGTGATTATCATGATTTGGTTGTGAACTCCGTGTTTATTGGAGGATTTCTATATGTTGTGAATAACATGTGAACGGTAATAGGATCATTTGATTCCTGGAGCATTGGCTCGAATTGTGATACGAATATTGAAAGTATACGAAATGACTTGATTCTTTGGAGCGTTGGCTCAAAATAGTAAAGTGAATTATAAGATAAGGAAAGTAAGAAAGAGAAAGCGTTGTTGATTATTCCCTTGTCGGGACATCTGGTTGAACTTGTTGGATTCTTTCCCTTGCCGGGATGGTTGTCAAATATTTGCTTATTTTATGCCCCTTAATTGTGACTGTTGTTGGGAAGTCAGACTGTTAAATGATATTGAGGATCGGGTTGCACGCCGCAATAATGATGTTGAGGATCGGGTTGCGCGCCGCAACAATGATATATGATACGTGATATGGGTCGGGATGCACGATGCAACAATGATATTGTGGAGCGGGTTGCACGCCGCAACAATGGTAATTATGGAGCGGGTTGCACGCCACAACAATTATTGAGGCTATGTGTTTACATTTGAGTATGGATTCCTTGTTCACTGTGAACCTAAGTTGTTTTAGTTGTTACTCTGGATTATTGTTATCATTGTAACTCCCCATAGCATGTTTTCCCTCCCATGTTGTTATTTGTCTTGTATTCGATTTCTGCTGTATATTTATGACTGCACATGTTTATATGGTGTCCGGTCTAGCCTCGTCACTACTTCGCCGGGGTTAGGCTAGACACTTACCAGCACATGGGGTCGGTTGTGCTGATGCTACACTTCTGTGCATTTTTGCACAGGTCCAGGTTTTGAGGAGCAGCAGTAGCAGTAGCAGTAGTACGGGAGCAGGCTTTCATATCACGAGACTGAGGTAGCCTTGCAGGCGTCCGCAGGCCCGGCGTCTCTTCTCATTGTTTTCTTTTAGACTGTTGCCTCCTTGTCTCGAGACAGACAGCTATCATATTTCTTTCAGACCTTTGTATTTAGTTTATTCTTAGTGGTTCATGAGTAATGTGACACCAAATCTTGGGTAGAGGTTGTTTTTGACTATTTCGCGTTTTAAATTCATCATTTTAAGACAGACTTCCGCTATTGTTCTTATTAGACTTTATGTTCCATATTGATGTTATAAACTGTTAAAGGCAATTGCTAGTGATGGAAAGGTAATTAAGTTGGCTTGCCTAGCTACCACGAGTAGGCGCCATCACGACTCTGATGGTGGGAAATCCGGGTCGTGACATAAGGTTGCTAGAATCTTCCTTGTACATTATCTAGAATCATATCTAGAATCATCCATAGGCTAGTATAAATAGGGGGTGTCCTGTTCATTTTTAATGAAGCCAAATTCAAGAAAGTCTTCTTCAATAACAAAGTATCAAAAAGAAGTATGATTAACAGTGGAGATGCTCAAACTCTTGTGGATCGTTTTATGCATATGCAAGTCACCCCAATATTTTCCGACCTCATTTGTTGACATATAGTACATCATAATAGAGAAATTTTACTATGTGAGTCACATAACCAACATTACTTATGCGAGTCTAGTTTATTTCTTGACAAGTGGACTCATGTTCCTACTTACTTACTTTAAAGCATAAGCTAAAAAAGGCAATATTTAGGTCTACTCTTTTTCCTAATTAGAGGCTTAACTAATGGACAATAAAAGGAAAAGAAGAAAGTAAAAGATCTATTTCATTACTCCTATTATATTATTATAATATTATAATAAAGAAAAAAAAAAGCAAACTACGGTGAAAAAAATTGCATTATGATCTATGTACTCTTCAAAGCAAAAAATAAGTTGACAAAAGCAATTACATTAAAATGCCTTTTGTTGTATTTTATGATAATCCAATCACTTAGTACAAGAAAAAATAACCATGACAAACTGGAAAAAGAAAATGAGTTTCAAAAAGACAAGGAAGAAGAAGCTAACGACGACAGTCACATACAACCTATACATAATGAACAATTTTGTATCTGAAATGCTTCGCAAAAATAAAATATAACAATGTAAACAAGCAATAGTAAACTATGTTGCTCTGAATACAATTAACATACACCATAATAACACTACTACATAGGATATACACAATTGCATCAGCAGACACAAATTATAAATCAAATATATGTTGACACTTCAAATTATTCATACTATAAATTCAGTTCATCCATAAATCTAATCCATAACTAAAATAAATGCGTACAATCTTGTCCGTCTCAATACTAGTAATTCCAACTCAATTACTAATTCGATTTCTACAGTCAATTCGCTTGGCCACTAAAATCAACATTTTTTCCAGTGATGTTTGAACTTTGGTTCTCAATGCCACCTCCAATTTGGTTAGTTGAAGCCTGAGTCAACAGTTGTGTGAAGCTAGTGTTTTGATCTCCATATAACTGCATCATTGAATTAAAAGGAGTAAATCAAAAAATCAAATCAAGACCAATAAGTAAATTAAAATATAAATACTAGTAACAAATTGAAAATTATAACTTGATAGTTTAGAGATTGAACCTCAAAATTTAACCCCAAGGATTGTTGCTCATGTTGTTCTGTTGCTCTAGCTTTTAATGTCTTTTGTGGTGCCCGCCTCTTCTTTTGCTCAGTTCTTGATTTTAATCTTCCGTATCCATTTCGATTACCCTTTTTCTTATTGGATCCAAAACTTGATCATTGAATCCCAAAGAAGGGCCAACATATGTACTAGATTTGGAACAACTCCTATGGGTACCTTCTGCATATATTTCACTTTGGAGTTTAGTGATCTCAACCCTTGCTTGATACAAATATTTTCTAGCAATTTCTTCAGACTCGGCATCATTTGCAGCTAAAGTCATAACTGTAAATGATTCTTTCATCATCGTGTTTAAGCGAATAGCCATAGATGAAGTTGATGTTTTCTTTTTATTGTTGCACTCCTCCAAACCATTCCCCTGTTTAGCATTCTTTGTCCATCTTTTCAAAATATATTGTGCAGGGATATAAGAAAAATCCAAGTCAATAAACAGAACTTTTAGTGCATGGCAACATAACCAACCCAAAGATTCAAACATAAGACAACTGCAACTTATGGAATTTTCCATAGAATTGAATTGCACTGTCTCTATTTGTCCGCCTTCTCCCTTGAGGATTGTGTATGTGTGACAGGTGCCACTAATTTCAGTATTGATCACCTTTTTGGACATTCCCTGCAAAAATTCATGTTGAAATCTTGTATATATAGTTCTAGTGTATAAAGTTGCAGCATGCTTTAATAACCTACAATCATCTATTGCAAGTTTAGGTGTTCCTCGACATTTATAATCTTCTGTCGCCTCAATGTCACGCATTTCAGCTGCCCGTTGCTCATAATGATTAACAAATTTAGTTAAACTCATAGTCTGGCAAGTCATTTCTGTGAAGACTCTATTAGTGCTCTCACTCCTCTGAGTTGATTTAATATCCGCAGAGAAAATATATCGACTAAATGCAGGACACCACTTTTCCCTCAAGTCATATAACCTTTGGAGCCAACTATTACTCCCACAGTCCTATTCTTCAATCATTTTTTGCCACACCAACTCAAACTCTGATTCCGACTTGCACCTCCATAAGAGTTTATCAAAATATTTTTCTCTAAATCCTGGTTTTCAATAAAGTTGAGGTATATTCTTTTGGGCATTCCTATCAATATGCCATTCACATAAACGATGACAAGTATCAGGAAAAACTTCTTTAATAGCAGCGCTATTGCAGGAGCTTGATCGGTAAATATAATTTTAGGTGATATGCCTCCCATTGCCTTCAAAAAAGTACGAAATAGCCAAACAAAAGAACTAGTTGTTTCATCACTTAAGAATGCACATCCAAAAAAAACATTTTTCCAATGATTATTTACACCCACAAATGGAGCACAAATCATATCATATTTATTTGTACGATATGTAGTATCGAAAATCATCACATCTCCAAAACACTCATAATGCAATTTAGATATACTATCTCTCCAGAAAAAGTTGCACATCCTTCCATCTTCATCAACTTGAAAAGAGTAAAAAAAGCTTGAATCATCTGATTGCATATGCATAAAACGATCCACAAGAGTTTGAGCATCTCCACTGTTAATCATACTTCTTTTACGTGCTTGTATGAAGTTATGAGCATCTTGTTCAATAAATCTAGCATTTTCAATACCACCTGCTTTATTTTGAAGGTAACGAACAACTTTTTTGGTGGGAATACCAGCATCTACCATAGAACTGAGAATGTCTTTAGTAGCAGTTGTAAGATTTCGGCCAGACAATATAAAATGTCTCAAATTTTCCTCGATCATCGGGTGGTTATGCTCATCAGAAAATTCGAAAACTTCCTATTTCTCATTTGAAATCTTAAATTTTATGCGAGCCATACAACCACATCTATATTCTAACCTTTGACGTTTTCTTTCTAGATAATTAGAATACAAAGGAGATTTCCCTTCACAAGAACAAAGAAATAAATACCTTGTTAATTCTTTGTTTCTGTTGTAAGTTTTTGCTCCCTTTCGAATGCCAAAACCTTTTGCTAAAGCATAGGAATTGTATGCTACGTATGATTCATCTTCAGAACCAAATCTCATCCCAATCTTAATAGCAAAGTCATTGTTGATGTTAGATACATTATGGACGAATGTGGAGCAATCTTGATCATTAGCAGTATAATCTACAATAATATAATCTAAATTAGAGGTACAATATTTACACATAAATAATAATAAAACTAAATTACGTTTTCCATTAAAATAGTGAGCACTTGAAACTAATAGTCTTTAAAGTTCACGTTGCTTACCTTCACCTTCAAAATTAATATCTTCAGCAGAGTGATCCTCCATATTGTTGAGCATAAAGTGTATGCTTTCTTCTTCACCGTGGAAAGGATGCTAAGAAATAAGATTTTCAATAAAAAATATTTTTTGTCAAAAAGCAGACCTAGATCTTATATACATAGTATAGTATAGGGACCAAAGTATCTGTTAATGGAAAAATTGGATTCTTCAATATATACATCACCTAAAGGAAAGGAAATTGCAGTAAAGTCATCCATAAACACACTACATATATCATAATGCAATTTTTTTCAACGTAGTTTACTTCACTACATAGATCATAATGCAATTTTTTTCACCGTGGTTTATTTTTTTCTTTATTATAATATTATAATAATATAATAGGAGTAATGAAATAGATCTTTTACTTTCTTCTTTTTCTTTTATTGTCCATTAGTTAAGCCTCTAATTAGGAAAAAGAGTAGACCTAAATATTACCTTTTTTAGCTTATGCTTTAAAATAAGTAAGTAGGAACATGAGTCCACTTGTCAAGAAATAAACTAGACTCGCATAAGTAATGTTGGTTATGTGACTCACATAGTAAAATTTCTCTAATATGATGTACTATATGTCAACAAATGAGGTCGGAAAATATTGGGGTGACTTGTATGGGTGGAAGGATATATGAAATTTGAGAAATTCAAAGAGGGATAATCTTGCCGAAACTCTTACATAAAATTAGTCCATAGCCATTAAATCTTCTATCTAAAAAGTACAAAAATATACCGTTACAGAACATCCCGATTTTGCTCGCGTGCACATACGCTCCTCCACCATGTGCCCGCCGGCAGCGCCCCTTCCGACGCTTGCTGAGGATCAATTGAAGCCTCCTGATGAGGCGGACACATCCCCTGCAATAGAACAACAAAACACGAACTATATGGTAGCTCTGAAAAGCCCGACGACTCCGGCGATGGTTAAACCTAGCTCTCTCGTTGTCGCTAGGAACACGACTCACAATGGCATTCCAACAGTGATTTTTAAGGCTAAAGATTACTACGGTGTCATGGCAGACGAATGCAGACTAACTCTCATTGGTAAATTCACTTATGGAAGGCCGATAATCGAAATTATCATATCAAAATCTCGAGCAAATCCCTCTCAAAGGAAAAGTCAGAATTGGGGCCTACAATTACAGGCATGTATTCATTGCATTCGACACTGAATCTGACACTGTTTATTTCTAAAGATTCATCAGTATCATGAGCCATCTTATGCATGTGTTCAAATGGTCCCCAAATTTTGATCCTAATGAAGAAACACCTCTAGCCCCCGTCTTGGTTCTTCTTCCTGAGCTTAAATTTCATCTTTTTAACTAGGACTACCTCAAACTAATCCTTTCAGATGTCGGAACCTCACTCATAGAGGACCTAGCAACTCTTGGTAGGTCTAGACAAAATATGGCCAAAGTCAGAGTTGAGTTAGATTTGTCGAAACCAATCCCAAAAATAGTCTGGGTTGGCCAAGAAGGTAATGGAGCTTGATATTTTATACTTCAATACCACACAAGAGGGAAGGGGGATGATTTATGTGGTACCCAATTTTTGCTTCACTTAATTATAGAAGGACCTGGTTCTTCTATGTGTTCCAAGTACTACTGTTGCGGAATAATAAATACAGAAAATAAAGCACACAAAGATTTTACGTGGAAAACACCTGGCTCAAAAGGTGAAAAAACCACGACCTACCTTCCAGTAGGATTTTCTCAAACTCTCCACTAAAATCACTGAGCCAAAAACTGCATTTACAAAAACTCTTTTGTAAACCTAGTATTAACTCTAATCCCGTTGTGGCACACAGCCTCAACTGTTGCGACAACTTCAAATTAACTCTAACTTGAAAACTCTAAGTACCTAATAAAATTGCTTCTAAATAAGCTGAAAGGTACAATGTAAAATCACCTACTACAATTGAACTAGAATAAAAGATAGACACTTGGAACTGGTTCTTCTATCTGGTTCAGACTACAAGAAAAGGCTTTATCTGCGACCAACATTTATGGACGAGTTAATAATCTCGTCTCTAAATGCATATGTATTGGGACGAAATTATATTGTGGTCCTTAATGGTGTATTTTATTGCGAAGTTACTAAATCTGGTCCCTAAAGAAATTAGTAACTGGTCCCAAATTATAATTGAGGGCCATGAGCGGGAGAGAATACCGCCAAATATAATACTAAAATATTAAAAAGTTATTATTTTCTAAAAAATAGGCGCCAAAACTATAATACTAATTAAAATAAAAAATTCTTAAACTAAAAAAACTCTCTGTTCAAGCAATACACGACTACTCTGCCCTAGTCTCTAATAAACAACGCAGGTCTGCCTCCTTCTCTTCATCTCTCAAAATCTGTATTTTGTCTAAGCAAAGATTGCAAATTTGTTTGTTGGTGAATCGCAGGTGTACCCTAGCTTTCGACCTCGCTCATTCGTGAATCTCAGGTACTCTGCCCTAGTCTCTAATAAACAACGCAGGTCTGCCTCCCTCTCTTCATCTCTCAAAATCAGTATTTTGTCAAAGCAAAGATTGCACATTTGTTTGTTGGTGAATCGCAGGTGTACCCGAGCTTTCGACCTCGCTCATTCGTGAATCCCAGGTATGCCTCCTCTTTCGATTTGCTCTTTTCTTCTCTAAGTTCTTCTTCTCCTTCTTCTCTAAATTAAATTGGTAAAAGGTTTCATAATTTCGTTTCTTATTTGTATAATCAATAGAAAGATTATTGGGTTGGGATTTCTAATTTGATAATTTGATTTCTCTGAAGTATATTCGTGTTTGTAGCGTGTATGAAATATTAATCTTCAAACGGGGGAAATAACGTATATTCATATTTGTTCATGTTTATAGTTTAGGGGAGGGTATATAGCAAGGAGTTGCAAGAAAAATGCAAAACAAGATTAGCCTAATTTACTGGAAAGTAGCAGTGGTTTAATGTAGAGGAATCAGAGACCTTACTATATTCACTCTAAAAATTGAGATAGAAATTCTGACCTTCATGTCTAATTTAGTCAACCTCACCCTTGTGCTCAATTGACGAGTCTCTGTCTTGCGACTTTTTCTTCTTCTAGTTGCTCTTTGAGCATTCGAGCGCGGGGTAGGATTTTAACCTTATGAATTCTTGATGTTAAAACACGACTTCATGTGTCAGTGATTGGGTAGCAAATTTAATTTAGGTAGCAAATATTATATTTCTAATTGTAGCAGATCTTTCATAAATTTACACACTTTCACAATAAAAGGTCTATACATTAATATCTGGTGTCAAAAAGAAATGCTTAAAAAGTTCTATTTACCTTTGTTCAAAGGTAATTGGAAATTGGTATCCAGAAGAAATTCTTGAAAAGTTCAGTTTTTCAAGTTCTTTTATCTGACTGTACATTACAATACATTAACTAAAAAGAGAAAGAAGCCTAATCCTCTAGTGCGACGTTAGAGTTCAACACAGTTGTGTGCATCTGACTGTAATAACTTGTGTTCATCTTAGTATTTTTCCTATCTTCTATCCTTTTTTTAATCTAATTTTTATCTACTCTCCAAGGTTATGGCACCT